ACTTCACGCCTTCAAAACCACGATACGAGACAATGCAGAGCACACAGCAATGAACACCGTGTCCCGGAGGGGAAGTTTCCTTGACCATCATCACATGACGCTTCCACAGTTTCCAGACAATTACTTAAGCTAGTCTCTACTGAGCTACCTTTAAAAAATAAATGTACGTGACAGGAAATTAAAACTTTGAAGCCCGACGACAAAAGATGCACTCACTCAGCCAGAGAGAAGTGCTATGTAAACAATCCAACTCTTCTATGGGTACCCTTGAAAAAGCAGGCGGGTCCCACCAAAACTCTTTTTCAATGGAGTGGTAGGATGCTTCAAACGTGGCATTGCATGATAATTACGCGCAATATTGCGTGGTATCTGCTTGCTGAGACACCCTTCCCATATGTCCCTGACGGCGAGACGGTGTCTTTAGCTTCATCTCAGCTCCTGGCTCGCAAACGAAAAACCTCGCTTCGGTGGAAATTGAGTGGAGCGCTTGCGCCAAAAACGGCAACAGTACCGTTCTGTTCGTCAGAGACACACACCAACGTTTTAAGTTTCAGATATTTGATTCAGCTTGAGAATGCAATGGCAAAAATGGGTAACAATCATTGCAGCTAAAAATCAGTACCACAAGAACCCGGACACAAATTTGACTTCCATCAGTTGCGCCAGATCAGGACGTCGGCTAAAAATAACCAGAAATTCGTTGGTTGGACCCACGAGTTACGCCCTCACTGGAAGAGTGCGACGTTTCAGGTTTCAACGAAAACAGCAGTGAATATATAAAGCAAACCAGAAGTCGTTCGATTACGTCTAATCTCAACGCACTGAAGACGGGGTACCAAAGAATGCAGGTGTGGCACCGATGAGAGACAGCGAAGAACGTTTCATAACTGCCCGCGTCATTCCGAACATCAACGCATCACAGGTGACAAAGACGGTACATGACGCGGAACACAGCAGACGAGAGCATCTGCATGTGTTGCTGGTCTCCTTGTACGTGGTATTGAAGGACCATCTGTGGAACGGTGACAGCGACTCTACAGCTTCAGGTCGGAGAACAGGCGTCCAGTGAAGCCCACGTGGTTGGCGGCAGGGCTGTAGAAGAGGATATACATCCTGCAAAACAAAACGTGATGGATTAATGACAGGATCTGAGAGATGCGACTAGACGAGGGAGAAGCAATGGCATCCGGGCACTAACGCTACCACAGTGGAGGGGGGCCTAAAGAGGTCCGGGGTTTCTCGGGATTTCCTAGAATTTCGTTTTCGGAGCCCATAAACGCCTGATGCTAAAATTGTTGTGCGATCTGAGGTTTTAAACATTTCACACAATCTGTGACAGTTGAAACGCTGTAAGTCTCGTATGTCACGGTTGATGATCCCTTCCCAAATTCGTGTCGGCCAATATTCGTGTTAGTCCCGATCGTGAACGCTTGATGGTATGATATTCCAGTCTTAACCATCTTTCTCTGAGTTACTAGACGTTATCGTAATAAGTAAAAGTGTGATATGACAAAGGGCAAGCCATGATCTAAGTCAAATAAATGTACCACATAAGTATGCTGAAATATTTCTAAGCCCTTGATGAAACATGCTGGCACCTTAAATCATATCAACCGTGATTTAATACAACTTGCCAAGCATTATCAATGTGGTTTTGCTTCGTCATAGCATGCTTAGTTCTTGGAAAAGCAGGGTGAGGCTATGCGCGCAAGACTTGACTGTATGACCTGTTTGACGTCACACGTCACGCCTACTGATGGGCTACGATCAGGGTATGATTTACAGAAATCTGCGCTATGCCGTTCTTCCTGCTGTCACAGCTCACATGACTTTAATGATATTAAAACAGTTGAAGGGCTGAACGTTGCCCATTTTGCATCCTCCACCGTTACTCGACACATCAGTCATTCATTGCATCATTATTCAACGGAATCATCTGACGTAGTGCTGCGCTACCTGATACCGCACTGGCTCTGGCGTGTTTCGTTTGCGTGCGATCAGGAGACTTGTGTGGTCCCCTTACCCTGCGACAGCGGCACGCCATGACCAGGCCTCGCCAGCCCGACGGGGGAGGAGGTGGGGACAGTGCTGGACGGAGTAAGGAACGTTAACCCCATCCACGAGTTAGACCCCCATAAGCTACGTGATCGGAAGACGCCAATGCTCCTCAGAAATACTCTGTGGCTGATCGACTGTACAAATGTTTTGTAAATAAATGCTTCGTACAAATTGTTTAGGGAGAAGTCTCTAAAAAAAAAATGTTGCATGAGCGGTTTGCTCGAGTGGCGGTGTGATCAGAGCTTGCGCTGGGCGCATACCGTTGCATACAAACATGTCACGCCGCCAGACGGACCCGAACAACGAGGCCTTTGTGCCGCATGCTGGCAACAAACAGCACTGTGAGCTTCTACCCCAGTGATCGCGTTGTTGCGCGTTCCGGCTGCCGAGATCCCACATCAATCTTCCGCGGCGCTCAAAAGCCGGCTGATGTGTGGCTCGCGCTCAGGCGTTCGTACCCGGCTTTGAACATTGGCTCCAACGTCTGTTGTTACAAAAGGAGTTCGTACGATTTCCGTGTTCATCTTAAGGGAAAGGAAGTTGGGTTGGCAAACTTTGCTCACAGTGTTATGCTGCGGGAACACAGTTCTGATCAAACGGCTCGTGTGTGAACGTTCTAGAATCCATGCAGCTTGTTTAAAGGATGACGTTTACTGTTCCCGATGTACTTCATGATACTGCAATGCGTGGTTGCAGCGATATTGGCCTTTGGTGAGCGTATCAGCAGGGCAGCGCCTGGCAATCGGTAGTTGTAGCGAAATTAGTCTTAAGTGAGCCTGTCAGCACGGCTGGGCCCAGCTCAAGTTTGAACTTCATCGCTGTTCAAGTAAGACGCTCAGCCTGTGGCCTTGCTCGTGAACACGACGCGAGCTCAGTGCAGTGGTAGTCAAAGTAGGTAGCGGTTTAGTGGTTTTGGCTAGTTGGTGTGTATTAGTTTCCATTCGGATTGACTGTCCTTCCAGTATGCTTGTACACGATGGCCAGGTGACTAAGACTTCCAGTCAGGAAGGCTTGACCTCTCTAGCTTTGGAGGCATTGCCACCGTTTCACCTATTCCACGCTCGATGTGCCGGAGCAGAGCTTTAAAAGGATCAATAGGCACCACGGCCTTAACTTACGTCACTTCATAGTTTATTTCAAGTGTTCTGCTGTAGCAGACAAAAGCATACCGTCATCCATTTCAAGAGGGCAGCATGGGGACGGTATGAAGGGGACGGAATCATTTCATGACCTTACAAGACATAACACTCGATGATCTCATGCTTACCAGCTTCATATAAGTGATTTCCAAAATGTGACCTGAAGCGCCCTTGAGACGAATGGACTAGCGTCACCATTAGAATGACGTCATCTTCAATATTTTACAAGGGACGACGTTGCCCTTGCGTAGCCGGTGTAAGGTTCATGGGCTTTAACAAAGTACGACACAAATCCTCTCCACATTTTGAATCATTAGACGATATGACGGAGGGCATGCAGGGTTAGCAGCGCGCCTTCCATCGTCAATATTTTGTATGTTTACCGTGCTTAGTTTTGAGAACGATATCGCATCTCCGTACCCTGACGATATCTTTAACTTCAGGGTATCCTCGAAAAACCGCAGGTGGTTACATCACCGAGATCGAGCTAGTGAAGGTGGGCTAATAATACATTTGAAGAGACATCTAGCCGTTTTTTAGTTACGCTGTAAACCCTATTGCCCTCACCTGTTTCCAGGCAGGTTGAGTTTGTCGTTCATGAACTTGAACACCTTTTCAGTGAACCTTCGGTTGGCCTCCTCGTTGACGTTGTGGATGGCAGTGAGGCGGCAGACGGCGCAGGGCTCCGGCGTACCAGCCCACATCATGCGTGGGTTGGGACGGAAGATCACCGTCATGTACTGTAAAATATGGGCAAAAAGGGGGATAAAACAATGACACTGTCCCGACCTTCCGAGCCAAACGCGTCCTCGGGCTGGATCCCGTCGCTTGTCTACCTGGATCATGTGGCAAAAGATTATTTGGAACGATCGTGAAGAATGTTCCCATCGGATGGACATGCCACTTGTATTCGGGTCATTAAGCATAATCTGGTATGTATCGCGGGGCATTAATTTTGAAGCCAACATGACAATGTTTTTTCATTCCAACACTTGCCACACACAGACGAAAAATATAATGGCCGTCGTACAAAGTGACGTTGAGAGCAAAATGATTAATCGTCGTCACTTGGGCCAAGCAAATGGGATGGCAGGGCTGCTAGCCTTCTGGCGCGTGGATTCCAATCATGACAGTGATCTATTTGGCTCGATGATCTGGATCAGCTAGGAACAGGACCCTGGCTAGAGAGGGCTAGAAACTGGTCAGAGAGAGAGAGAGAGAGAGAGAGAGAGAGGAGAGAGAGAGAGAGAGAGAGAGAGGAGAGAGAGAGAGAGAGAGAGAGAGGAGAGAGAGAGAGAGAGAGAGAGAGAGAGAAGAGAGAGAGAGCTAGAAACTGACCAGGAGTGCTAACCTGGCGCAGTGCTGCTCTGCCGCGGGGATGTATGACACGGAAAAGATCTCTTCGAAATCCCGCACAATACAGGGCCCTAGTCAAAATATAATTGACGTGGTGGATTCAGCTCACAAGCAATTGGCCCTGCTTAATAAATGATCGGGAATACGATGTCCATACGAAAATCGGTGACTGTTTTGTGAAGATAGAGTCTAAAGGTTGATGACAGCCGTTGCAATTCAAGCGAAGCTGGTAGCGTTTCAGTTCCAGAGCTGCGCATGCGAATGTTAACAAGTTATGTAACGGGTTGCAGAGTGCAGGCTACATAAACGCTGCCGGCTGCAGTGTATGTTTATCCACGGTCGGGTCATCTGAACGAAGGGCATGAGTCGGATCGAAAGGAAAGGAACTGTATGAGATGGCCATCCGCAATATTTCTGAGTCTTGCGCGCTGTCAGGGTCAGGCACGAAAGGCGACAAAGATTTCGGATAAGAGCATCGAAATCGAATTACATACTTGATATGCGCAGTACGTATCCTGTCGGACGCGCATGGAACGATTCAGTGAGTGTTGTGGGAATGTTGAGGGGAAGTGAACGGATTAGAACACGTTTTTACGTCGAAATGCATTCAAACATTGCTGTAAAAGCCAGTAAAAAACGGCCATCAGTAAGATATGAGGCGAAATCTCGGCTTTCAGTCACTGAGTTAGACAACAATTAGTTTATCCAGTGATATGAGTTTTTAGCCCAGCTGCATGCAATATTGTACATGTTAACACATTACAACAAAAAAATGGATTCTTAGGAATAAATAACGCCAAATGGAGCCAGGCAAGATACGCTGTATCTTACCTAGCTCCACCGGGAGTTGTTATAAGTAGCTAGAGTGCTCGTAGCTCTTTTGGCACGAGTCGTTTCAGCGAGAACGGTCTTGCGGTACACAGCGAGCTATCTCACCTTCACATCCAGCCCCAGGAGCTTAGCAAGCAGCTCTGTGAGCTCCATGACCACTTGTGGCGTGATGTTCGCCTCGGCGACGTTCGTGTCAATCTCGAAACCGGCATGGCGTTTTCTCCAAGCGTCCGTGGCAAACCCAAAGCGTTCTCGTCACCGACGACGTGCCAACTGGCCAGCCGAGCTGAGCCTATCTCCGCGATTGTGGCCTCATTGACAGTGCGCTCGCCCTCCGCGGCTGGACTTTGGTCGCGTCTCTGACCTTCGCGGCGCCGGTCACCGAGTTAGTGCAAGCTCGCGGCGAGTTTCCCGTGTCCTCGTGTTGAACACCTCTCGACGGGGTGACTCACGGACCGCGCCGAGGCAGCTTACTCTGGCCGGCTCTTGTCAATTGCTGCGTGTGCGTTTGGGGAAAGTGACACCGGAGTCCGAGACGTCATTGAACATCACTGATCAGCTACTTTTTGCATGCAGTCCTTCACTCCTATGCCTACAAAGTTTACACGAAGCGGTAGCTTTTTCAGGGCATGGAATGGTCTACAGGGGCCAAAACGCCTCAAACCAAATAAATTCAAAGGTAAAATAAAGCCAAGTCTAGTTGTCCACCACAAGTCTAGAACCAACTCCGAAACAGGCTTAAGCGATGAAGTATAACACAATTAATTTGCTCAACGGTAGGATGGCTCAGCCATCTGGAAAAGAGAGCGCAAGTGTCCTAAACTAACGGACAAACAGTTTTACGATGCTAGGTTCTGTAGGCACATTACAGGAAGGAAATAATCAGTGTCGCCATTCGAAATTCTCGCATGAAAATTTAGACCTAGGCCGACCGGATTCAGTCAGCCTTTTGCCTATGCTGTGCGTTTGGAGGGGTTTGGTAAGGAACGATGGATATATTTTCACAGGACGTTTCCAAGCTGACAAGTGACGATAGTTCACAACTATCAGCCACTCACAACGGAATATAACACGGTTGGTGCATCATATATGTATTTAAAATATGCGTTTGGGAACATGGCAGTGAGAGGCAACGGCGAACAGAGCAGTGCTTAACACCCTAAGTATTCCGCCATTAAAGTACATCTTATGGGTAATTTCTACACCTACATCTGATGCAAGTATCGATTCAAGCTGAAGGATGTCCCGCATCCTACCTAATTACAAAGTACAACGCATCTAGGAGCAGACTAAAGGGTGTAAACGTTTTACACACAGGCGCGGAGTGACGACGCGAACGAGGAGAGGCCTCCGTTGCCGTGCAGATCGGAGGCAGTGCGCGATGGTACAGTTCGGAGGCAGTGTGCGATGCGCCGGAGTGCCACCGCGCCCCCACCGCACGCGCAGCCCCGTGTCGCAGGAGACGCCATCGATCGTGCAGTGTCACGACGGCGGTGTTCCCTCGCGTGGCGGCAGACCGCCTCCTGCGGCGCCGACACCCTATCGCATCAGGTCGGAGAACAGGCGACCCGTGAAGCCGACGTGGGTGCTGGCGGGGTTGAAGAAGATGACGTACATCCTGCAAGATGGGTCGCGTCAGTGACCGCCGGCAAGGACGTCTGTCGGCGGCGCCCTCAGTTCACCACGCAGATGGTTTCCAGACAACACCACAACGCAGGGGGAGGGGGCGCGGAATGCGGCATACTTGCGCAAAGCCTCCAAACACCTCCAAGCAGCTGAGCAAGATGCCAGACGGAGACAAGGGTGACAACACGGCACTACGTAGCACGTTGCGATCTCTCAGCAGAGCAGTTATCCAGTTTTGCCCTACCATACCAGGATCGGGCCCCTTCAGTAATACTTTCATGCTATATGGCGGGTAGGGTTCCTACAGTAAGCGACCCTTAGTAGAACTCTGATCCAAATGTCGTCATGCAAACACACAACAATTTTTGCAACCATTACACTTTTTCCGTAGCACAGAAGCAAGCCGGTTGTGTGCTATTCCATGGCAACGCGTTCATGACAAAATAATGGATGATCTAGTTACATGATGAACTCATCTAGTTACAGAACAGACCGTTTAATTCGCAGGGCGATCAACTACCCGTTCGAGATGAGCTCATAAACGTGCTATGATTAGCTATCAGGACCATAAATAAAACAGCCTTCAACCACGGGAACCTGAGGAAATGGGGTAGGAAAAATTGAGTTCCTAGACATTGAACTATGAATCGGTCGTCGGCTTATAGGTTTAAGGTAAATATAGCATAATAAATTATCGGCAAGCTTAATCGGCTTATGCTTGATTATGGTGCAAATTGAAATGGTTTCCTACCGATCCCTCGTCTGACGCGTGTGGAGAAATAGGTCACGCCTCACATATGCGATGTTATACCGACTTTTTCCAAGAACGTGGCAGTTGCTACACATCCATAAACAGCGACGCAAGCATCACATTCGGTTGTTGAAAAATCAAGTTTGGCTGCAGGAATGAGCTCGCGCACGCATCAAGGTATCTACGTGTATATATATATATATATATATATATATATATATATATATATATATACATATATATATATATATATTTGATTAAAAATGACTGCTGACTCAACAATGACGAGCTTCTTGACGCATCATTCTAGTTTCCGCGCCTTTGACCTGGCATCATTGCTGAGATTAAAGATGTTTCGCATAAATTTACTCGTATATTCATCGCTCCTTACATTCTAAAGTTTCAAGATCCTATATCATCGTCGGAGAAGAATAAATGGCACAAGAAATAAGCTTTGAGTTCGAAAGGAAAAAAAAATTGTGCGCTTCTGTGGGAAAACATCTTCTGGTACGGGAAACATAAATGAAGCATAACTAATGGAAGTAAGACGGAATCCTATTTTCACCTTGATACATATAAGAAACAATCATAATGGGAACACTACAAAGACACAATGAGAACACTATTGCCACAATCACATCAATGGTGCTCACGGCCCACCACCTAATAGTTCAAGAGTTGTATAATAATTTGTCCGTTAAGGGCCGGAGATAGTTCGCTAATGAATATGCTTTCCCAAATTTAAAAGGCGTCTTCTGTCATTGCACGTCCGTAAAATGTCAGTGTTGTCTGTCAGTTGTTGTCGGGTCAATGTCATATCGTGTTCGTGTATCATGTGGTCCAGAGATGCCCCGTCACGTAGGTGCACTGTCAGGCGTCGTGAGAGTGTCGTCGTGGTTACACCAATGTAGTGTATGGAACGAAGTTTGCAGCCTTCGATGTTGCATTTGAACTGATACACTACATTGGTGCATTTCAGTTTGTCGGGTTTGTCTGGGCTGTTTCTCATAAGAAAGTTATATACCTTCTTATTACGGAAATAAATGACGATGTCTATTTTGGAGGCGTTTTGCCTTTAACATGTCGTGAGATAATTTCCCGTAAAGTTTTTTTCGCCTCGTTTGTGGGCAGATGGCCTTTGATTTTGATAAAAGAGTTTAACGGTTGGTTGAATGTCTTGTGTTGGTTTGCTGTCAAGGTGTCTTTTCATATATCGTTGCATTTTGTTTTCAACGTCGAATTTTGAAAAACCGTTGTTCACCAAGATCTGTCCGATTCTTATCAATTATGAATGAAGTCCTGTCCAATCAGAGCAGTGCTTAAATGCTCGTCTAATGAATTACCTTATGACGCTAATTTTGTAGCGTCGAGGACACTCACTGTCAGCATTTAAGCACCGTCCGTTGTAGTCTGTTTTCGGTGTATATATATATATATATATATAGTTATATATATATAGTTATATATATATATAGTTATACACATATATATATATATATATATATATATATATATATATATATACATGCATATATGCTGACTGTCAGTGTCCTCGACGCTACAAAATTAGCGTCATAAGGTCCTTAATTAGACGAGCATTTGAACACTGCTGTGATTGGACAGGACTACATTCAGCATTGATAAAAATCAGATAGATCTTGGTAAACAACGGTTTTGTCGTATTCCGTGGTTGATCGTCGCACTGTCTGGCTTACTTTTGGCCATCTTCAGTTGATGCGTTGGTAGATCACGTCGGGGTCACCAATGTCGCGCACGCCACTATCTTCGGCGACGATAGAGAAAGGTGGCAGTAGTTGCCTTGTTGCTGCCTTGTTTGTCAGTTTCACAACCCGAGCCCCGCGTGCAGTGTGATACAAGCGTAATCACCTGCACCTCAGGACTCGTGCTGCCAACCGGCTGTTTGCGGCCGGGTGGCCGGGACTGGCACTGCTACACTGGCACTATATATATGCATATCGATCCACATTAATGTGCATAATTACAGCTCGGTGTGCGCTTTCAGCGTTTCCGACATCCGTTGATACGGATCGTTTTCGTAAGTTGTCGATCTGGCTCAGTGAACTGTAGTATAGTATTCTGGTGCCAGCCCGCCCCCGCTCCCCCCCCCCCCCCCCCCAAAGAGTGTTTTACACCGGTTCCTGCTCTTCAGGTCACTACGCCGATATAACTGTACTATGCTTACTGGCTTTTCAAAAGCACATTCGTGTTGCAATGTCGTGCGATCACTTCAACTAGCCTTTTACGCGGACAGTGCTTAGCGTGTGGTGTCATTCTCCGCTTTTCAATTAGCACAACGTTTAAATGGCATCAGTGGACATAGTTGAAAAGTGGCGACCGAGATATGCATATGTAATACGTGAGTTAGACGTCCAGTGCTAAACCACAGGTCATTGAGGCTTACATCGGTCAGGCATGGGAAGTAGCACTGACCTGGTCGCACGAGAGGCGCTAACGGTGGTATTTAAACACTATTAATCAATGAGACAATTAAAAATAAGGCACGATTCGCAGCTTCATATGAACAGTGTTCTTCGTGTAAAGACACGCCTTGACAGCACGTAAATGTGTGATATTCGTGTCATCCACGATTGCTGAATTCCAAAATCAAAGCGAAACACGGTGCCTTTTCATGGGACATGACTCACAGCGGCGGCACGGTGTTGCCGGGGCTCCAACAATGAAATGGAACGCCGAGGTTGATTAAGCCCCGCTTGATGAACGAGAGACAATGAACATTCCGCTAGCACAGCCCAGTTACGCCCTTCCGCGAACTCCCCGCAATTGACCGCTACCGAACAC